AAGGCTTCACCGACATGGCAGCACTGAGAAGGATGAGAAAGGAGAGGCTGACAAAATCTCAAGGCCGACCTAGGCTGCCACAACGAAGGAAGACAAAAATGATCGTCTGTACTTTCAATGCACGTACGCTAGCATCAGATGCATCCATCGAGGACCTGATGGTACAAGCGCGAATGATCAAGTACGACATCATTGGTCTGACCGAGACAAGAAGACACGAATCTCACCATGCCGTTTTCGACACTGGAGAAGAATTGTTCCTCGGAACATGCGATAAAAGAGGTGTTGGAGGCGTCGGTGTCCTTGTCAACACAAACTTGGCCAAGAGCATTGATTCATTTGAATGCCTAACAACCCGAATCGGACGTTTACATTTGAATAGATGTGGCTCACTGCCTGCAGTTTCTATCTTCGTTGTCTACGCACCAACATCTCATTATGATGAAAGAGAAATCGAGAAGTTCTACATGGAGCTAGAGAAGTTCTATAAAGAAGACCACACCTTCTACAAGATCATTGTGGGTGATTTTAATGCCAAGATAGGACCGAGAAGATCAGCTGAAGAACTTCACATCGGGACCCATGGCCTAGAATGGAACGAACAGGGTGAGAGACTGTCAGAGTTCATCATGTCGACCAAGACCATCCATGGTAACTCACAGTTCCAGAAGGCAGAATCTAAACGATGGACGTGGGAGTCTCCCGGTGGACGATTCCACAACGAAATAGACCACATCATATTCAATCGACGGTTTTGCCTGACTGATGTCGCTGTTGTCCCAAAATTTCGAACGGGATCGGACCACCGTCTCCTTCGTGCAAAATTCTACTTCACAGAGCGGGGAGAAAGGGCTGCAAAGTTCAAAAAGAGAACTCCCAGAACGACCACCAACTGGGAACTCTTTGGTACTATTGCGGCAACATGGGAAGATGCCATTGTTGACAACATTGACGAGGAATACGATCGACTGGTTCAGCACCTCCATGAATGTGCGAGGAACGCCAAGAGAGAGATAGCCACAAAAAGTCGCCTATCTTCGAAAACTCTTGAGCTAATTCGCCAGCGTGGTTTGGCGCATGCCTCAGGCAACCGCAAGCTAACGTCCGAGCTTGCAAAGCAGTGCAGAGATGCGATCAAGGAAGACCTCAAAGAGAGAAGAGCAGAAGTACTGGTAGATGCGGCAGAAGCCGGGAAAAGTATTCGTAACGCCCGCCTGTCCTTCGCCAACTATAAGACCAAGATGACTGCCCTCCGACGTCCTGATGGATCCATCACATCCTCCAGAACAGCAATGGAGAAGATTATCCATGACTTCTACTCAAATCTCTTCGATAGCCATGTCCACTTGCCGACATACCAAATTCCACAGGATGGGTATGTCGTTCCCAACGTTCTCCCTTCTGAAATCCGACACGCCATTTCGTCAGTAAAGAAACAAACAGCACCCGGCCCAGACAAGGTCAGACCTGAACACCTGAAGAACCTGCCGTCAGTACTCATCAATACACTGGCTCGGCTCTTCACTCGCTACCTGTCTGAATGCAAGGTTCCATCTCAATGGAAAACCAGCAGGACCGTACTACTGTTCAAGAAGGGAGACATCCATGACATTGGCAACTATCGCCCGATCTGCCTATTGTCTGTCATCTACAAGTTGTTCACTCGAGTCATCCTGAATAGGATTGGCAGAACACTAGATGAAGGACAACCATGTGAGCAAGCAGGGTTCCGCAAAGGATTCAGCACCATCGACCATATCCACACGATAACCAAACTCATTGAGGTTTCTCGGGAGTTCAAGATGCCGCTCTGCTTAACGTTCATTGATTTAAAGAAGGCCTTTGATTCTGTTGAGATGGAAGCGGTCATTGAAGCCCTAGCCAATCAGGGCATTCAAGCCCAATACATCAGGATCCTCCGTGAGCTGTATTGCGGATTCACTACCAGGATCTCACCATTCTACAAAGAAGTGATCGTTGATGTCAAGAGAGGGGTGCGGCAGGGTGATACCATTTCACCAAAACTCTTCAGTGCCACCCTCGAGAACATCATGCGACGACTGGAATGGGAAAGAATGGGAGTGAAGATAGATGGTCGGCAACTACACCACCTCCGCTTTGCTGATGACATTGTTTTAATAACACCAAACATCAGCCAAGCGGCACAAATGCTGGCCGACTTTGACCGTGAGTGTGGAAAGGTAGGACTACAGCTGAATCTTACGAAGACAATGTTTATGAGAAACAGCCTTGTTCCTGATGCCCCATTCGCTCTCAATGGAACGACCATCTCCGAATGCAACAGCTATGTGTACCTAGGTCGAGAGGTCAACATGACAAATGACCTGGCACCCGAGCTGCGCAGGAGGAAGAGAGCGGCTTGGAACGCCTTCAAGAACGTCGAAGAAATAGCTAAGAGGACGAAGAACCTCCGGCTCCGGGCACATCTCTTTGATTCCACTGTTCTTCCTGCATTAACATATGCCTCAGAGACCTGGGCCCTACGCAAACAAGATGAGAACGCCATTCAGGTCTCCCAAAGAAGAATAGAAAGAGCTATGCTTGGAATATCACATTTCACTCAAATGAGAGAACGAATCCGGAGTTCTGACATCCGTCGACGATCAAGGATCAGGGACGCTGTCTCATTTGCCAAGGTGTCGAAAATCAGATGGGCTGGTCACGTAATGAGATTTAAAGACGACCGTTGGACTAGAGCTGTTACTGATTGGATTCCACGGGATGTCAAGAGACCGCGTGGCCGCCCACCTACCAGATGGTCAGACTTCTTTGTCAAGGTCATGAACGATCGGTTTGAGGCCCTCCATGTTCCCGGAGCGAAGAGATGCCATTGGGCTACACTAGCACGCGACAGGGACAAATGGAGACTTTACTGGCGCCCGCTCGAGCAAATCGACGACTAACGGGAAGTTAAGTGATTAAGTGATTAAGTGAAGCTATAACCTGATATTATATGCCACAGTTTTAAAAATCAACCCATAATGGAAAATACTAAAATATATTATGGTAAATATAAACAAATTTGAAGAATTAAAAAAAAACTTTTAGACATCTAGAAAACAACAGGATACATATTCTTCTGATGATCGGCCAAACTCACCCTGGAGGGGGGTGGGTGAATCCCTCCACTTGCCCAAACAGAGCCCTGGCAGCTGAAAACCTCCAAAACCCAGTGGCTGCCATGCTCATGTCCAGATTCCACAGTTTAAGGTAAGCCTCATCCATGAATGAATCTGTTGAAAAACTTAGGTATGTAGATTTTGTGACAAAAATCACCAGTCCGCTATGGAGTCAGCGATGGGTGACTTCCTCTCATCCCTCTGTTCTTTCGGGAGCCTGGCAGTCATGTCCATGAACCGCCTCCAATACCAAATAGCTGAATAAGCTCAAATAAATCTCAAAAGAGATCAGTGAGCTGCAGAGATGCTTCCAGACTCTAAAATCATCATCCAGTTAAAAATTTAATGCCAGTTTTATCACTCCATTTAAATTTTAGAATTCCTGGAGTGACATCTCTTACTCTGCATCTGATACTTTTCTACTGATATCCCAGGAGTAGCATACTCCATTGGATGGTTGTAAAGTAGAAGACAACCAATATCGATTAAGAAAATATTAACACACAAGGCTTAACCTGTAACAACAGGATAGTAATATGCGGGTAGGGCGTTCGCCTTACAAGCGGCCAACATGGCCAACCCGAGTTCGATTCCTCCGCCCCTCTCGGAGAGCCCGGCAAGCTACCGAGAGTATTCGATATGCCAGACACAGTAACAACAAAGTCTCCAATGGAGACGTTACTGGGCCCGCTCGAGCAAATATCTTATACAAGAGCTTAATTATTCTGGGGCGAGATACAATGATCTTCATACCCTTCCTTCTAATGAAATCTTTTTGGATCATTTTTAGCGAATCAATCATAACAACTATACAAAAATAAATCATCTTGGGCTTGCTCTTGGGGCAGGTTTGGGTGGTGGTTGGGAAAATAGGAAATAACGGTGGTAGGAAGGTGTAATGGTGGTGGGATTGGTGCTGGAATATTGGATGTAATAAATCACTGTGAACAATTTTATAAAAATTAAATTAAATTAAAAAAATAAAAAATGATAGGCCATGCTGGCTATAAATATAAGAATCGAGAAGTTGCATAGAGCTGAAAGGGTTGGAGCATGTGCTTTGCACACAGCAAGCCCCAAATTCCGAGTCTAGCACCATATGCCCTGCCGTTTCAGTACTGGTCAGTTCAGTAATCACTGTGACTCAGACAGCACCACAAAGCCAGGCCAAGCACTGAACAGTCAAGTCTCCCATAGTCAGGTTAAGTATCACTGAGAGTGGCTTCTAGGTCCCTTGAGACCTGCTTGGAAGGTCTCTCTCCCACGAAGTGATTCAGTTATAAGGAGAATGGGTAAATTAGTTTAAAGAGGTTAACTTCATTTTGAAAGATAAAGTTGAATGTTTAGTGGTAAACAAAACATAGCATATGCAGGCACTGATTTTTTAGTTATTTTAAATGATACATGACTAAAAAATACAATTTAAATATATAATTTAAGTATATTTGAAAAATTTCAATGAAATCAACTAAAATATAATTAAATAGGAACTTCTTGACATAAGATTTTTAACTGGATAATACATAAAGCCTCCTAATAACTTATTTTCAAGAAGTTCCAAAGAAAACTGTAAAATATTTCAACCTGGATGATAATAAAATATAACACATCAAAATTTGTGAGATGTAATTAAATAAGTCCTTACAGACTAAAATATAGCTTCAACATCTTATGTCAGAAAGAATAAAGATTTCAATCACACAAATTTATAAGAAAGAAAAAAAAGCACAAAACTTAATGAAGTAATAAAAAGAACAATGAAAAATTAATAAATAGGAAAATGTTGTTTCTTGAAAAGATTTTTAAAAATTCAGTAATTTAGAATTTTAATAATTCATTATATAATAAAGAAAGTTTTACCTTGGCCAATTCCGTAAATTTACCAAAACCAGGCTTCCAAGAGGGAGCTGTGAATAGACAAACTTTAACCCACTTTGATGAAGTTGAGATTCCTCTGGAAATTCTTCTTCAGAAACAGAGCACTTACTATATCTTGAATCAGTGTTCATAAAGCAGTACCATGGTTCATTGTGATCAATTCTGGCTGCATCTTCACTTGACAATGATCTCCACTTCAAACAGTTTTCATTTTCACACTGAACCCACACTTGGTTTACATCCATGTTGTTTTCCACCAAAGAACTTATTGAAATATTACAATTTTCAACTATTAAGTATCATCCAATGTTTCCTTTTACATAAATGCAATTAATCTGCAAAACAAAGTTTGTGAAAACTAATGAGTAAGCATTCAAAGGTAGGAGAGAAAATTCAACCCAACACGTGAGAAATAAGGCCAAGAAGATAGTTTAAGTGATAGGATATATGCCTATCATATGCAAGATCCTTAATTTAACTCCAAACACCTCTTACCAGTCATGCCCAGCACTACTAGGAGTATCACTGAGCACCAAGTTGGGTGTGGCTTACACACACATCTGAGAAATTATTTTTTAGTTCCCTCATTCCTCTCCTTTCTACACTATCATAACTATAGTTGTTATTTATATTTTACGCCTATTTATAAACAGAGGAAAAATAGAAGCATCAATAACCCCAAGGTTAAAATGCTTCAAAATTAAAATGAGAGCATAAGAGAAGAGGTGAAGTACAAAGCAATCAGGTATCCTGATTTTTTTGATCATAGTAACAGTTAAAACTTATTGAAAAGTTTATTATGATATTATTTTAAAACCTCAGGTAAATAGTTATATAGTCTTTCTATATAAGTTTTTAGAATGTCTAATTTTAGAATGAAAAATGAAGCAAAGGAAAAGAATATGTTAGCTAGCTCAGAGATCGTAAATGACAAATATGTCTCTTGAGATCCTAATTTCCTATCTCTTGGATAAACAACTGGAGGTAAACTAATGGATCATGAGGCAGTTGTATCTTTAACTTTTTGAGGAAATCACTATACCACTGTTTTCTATAGCAGCTATATTATTTTCCGTTCCCTGTTTTCTTTGTTGGGAGGACAGCACCAGCAAGAGCTTGACAAGTTTGTTTAAAAGATACCTAGCTGGTTTTGTTTTTGTTTTGTTTTTTGGTGTGTGTGTGTGTGTGTGTGTGTGTGTGTGTGTGTGTGTGTGTAAGAGATCTTGTGAATGTCAGAATCTCTTGGCTTTTTAAACCAGGGTATGTGACAAGCAATACCTTAAGTAACAGCATAAAAGTTGGGGAGCTAGATTGTATGAACCAAATATTTTGCTATACAGGGCTAAGTTGGGAATTCAGAGTCTTCTTCTAAGTAAGGTGATAGACCAAGGGCATGAATGTGTCTCAGCTACCTTTCCTGTTTCAATACTGGTATTTTCTAAATCACTTAATGTAATCTATACAAATCATTCAATTGGTTTTTGTATTTTTCTCTTAGAGAACTGTATGCTATATTCAGTACTTCTTTGGAAGGAAGGAAAGTCTGGAGACTTCTATTCCTCCGTCATGCTGACATCTTTTGCACTTTTCTTACTTTTATATAAACTCCAAGAAAATATCATTTGACCTCTTTATCTTAATGCAGCTTTGACGATTGACATACACACACACACACACACACACACACACACACACACACACACACATATATATCTGGTCATCAAAAATGAAAGAAATTATTTCTTCAAGGGTTTCCTCTACATGTATGTTCCAGGATATTATTATACAAACTTCACAGGCCCTCAGAGTGAGGTATGAGAAAAGTAGCAGGAGGAGACCGTGACATTAGGTACTAGATGAAGATTACAAATACAAAAATCAAATAAAGAGAGAGCTGTGAAAATTTTTAAGTCTAAAGTAAGTACAGGGAAACTGAACAATTAAGTTGGAAGTAAAGAGTTGGAATACAACCTTTAAAAATTAGACTAACCATTCAAATTCCTATTGATTTTTATTTAAAATGAAATAGGGCTTATTAATATTTAATGCTAAACTGATACTAGAATAGTCACATAGAATACAAAAAAAGCAGATCAAATGTTCAAAATGGCTGTAAGATATCCTACTAGGATGGATAAAGATACAACTAAGGCTGTTTCACATAGTTTTTTTCAATTATTCATTTACTTTTTCTATATTATAATGTATTTAACTAATTAAATAGGCTAGAAATCATATTATCTAGGTTAAACTGTTTCTCATAAAATGGTGGTACTTTAGAGAAACACTATGTTGGAGAGAATAATACTACGCAAATAAGAGACAGAAAAGCAGAAAATGATTATTATCTGTCACTCAGCTGCTTAGAATTTTATTCATTTTGCAACCACAGAGCTGCTATAAAGAAAGTTCTCTTAAATTTATGGCACCACATCAATGGGAAGCTTAGGAAAATCCTTTATGATAGCCTATTATAAAATGTTTAAGGGGATTAAGAGATTACTTTTAAGTGGTAGATAAAGTTTTTAGATTTTCTTAAGAAGTTGGGTTTCACAGAGAATAACACTGAAAAGTTAAATTAACAATAAGAAAATGTCATTATTACTTAAATAGTGATAATCATTTTCAATTGCATCAAACTTAAACCTCTTGGTATTTTAGATTTGATATGGTTTATACAAGCTAATAGAGTATATAATGAAGAAGATAAAATACTTAGTCTTTTATAGATTCTCATTACTTCTGTTACATTTTCTCCAATACTTTGTTGATTTTCAAAATTACTGACACAGGGTTAGAGACACAGTATAAGGGCCAGGTGCTTGCCTTACATATGGCCAACACCACTTCAATCCTGGCATGAGCATAGAGTCAGAAGTAAGCCTGCAACACCAACAAGTATGGCTCCAAACCAAAAACTATGGCAAAACTGCCATGTACAGAAGACACTAACGAAGAAGATAAAATGAAGGTAGTTGTCAGGAGAGTGCTAGACTCTTTGAAGAGATCTCAATAAAGGCATGCCTAAGTGGCCAAGTTTTAGTTTATAGTCACTGGCAGATGTAAAGCTACACAAAATTGCTTTACTAAATTTCTTTTAAAATTCCATATCTTAAAAAAAAAAAGGGACTATCTTTTCAGTCTGAATTCTATTTCTTACCATAACTAACATATCAAACTAGAGACCAGAACAAAAACTAATGACATTTTGGAAAAGAGAAAACACAGAATGGCTATTTAAATTATACAGGCCCTAAATTTAGCTGTGCATCATTGTATTCATTCATTCCAGGTAACAGAAATGGATACCAAATTTCCAGTTAAGCAGCTCTACCACTATTTAGTAGGTCAACTTGTTAACAGATCTAAATCTTTGATCCTCCATATTTAGATAATTAAAACCCTTCCTACGTATATTGAGCACCTCACACAGAGTACAGCATCTTTTCAACACTCAATAAGGATTTGTTAAATGGATGAATTACCTTGAACATTAATTCAAAGGCACAATGATTTCCTTCTAAATGTTAGACATGACTTTCAAGGGGACTGAACAAAAGATGAGTAAAAAATAATCTCTGTTCTTCAGTTCATACAGATAAACAAAAATAGATAAAACCTAGTTCCATAAAAAGTGGGTAAATGTCATGCGGGGTGATGTTATAATGTACAAAATCTATGCAAACCCACATAAGAAAAAAATTCTTCCTGGGACAGGCAAACTCCATGAAAGATGTATGAAACAGATGACCTCTGAACTGAGTCTGAGAGGATAAGTGTAAGTTCACCAGAGACAGGAGGAGGAAAGGAGCATATTGCAGACAGAATTGTATGTGCAAATGAGCAAAGTTGCAAAAGTGCAAAGCATACACAAAAATAATGAGCTGTCAGGCATGGCAAGAACCCTTTTAAAGGAAGCAAATGTGGCAGCAGTTGAGGCTGGGAAAATCATCACAAAGTCAAATAACTTATTTCATAGTTTCAAAGGCACACTCCTTTACATCTTATCTCAAAAATCATGTGTCTTCCAATTTATGGCCTTCTACAGTCATGATGAAATGTCACTGACTGCATACGAATGAACTTTATGAGTTAAAGTAAAATTTCACTGAGAGATAAAGAAACATGAGTTTTTCTTCATGATAGACAACTACCACCATTAAACATTTTTTAAAAAATAAAGACTTCTTTAAACCACATTTTCACTGATACTTTAGAAAGTGAAAAAAGCATCAACACTGAAACTTGTAGAATTTTACTGTGATTTGAAATAATATCCCTGAGATGACAGTGAAACACTCTTAATCGATTTGCTCGAACGGGCCCAGTAAAGTCACCTTTTTGAGACTTGCTGTTACTGTGTTTGGCATACTGAATACGTCACGGGTAGCTTGCCAGGCTTTGCTGTGCGGGCAAGATACTCTCAGTAGCTTGCCGGGCTCTCCGAGAGGGGCGGAGGAATCAAACCTGGCTCAGCCAGGCTAATTGCATGCAAGTCAAATGCCCTACTGCTGTGCTATCGCTCTTAATAAAGGTAAAAGGTAAAGGTAAAGGCCCTCCCGTTGATCGTCGATTTGCTCGAGCGGGCCCAGTAACGTCTCCATTGAAGACTTTGTTGTTACTGTGTTTGGCATATCGAACTTAATAAAGAATAAAAAATAATAAAGAATACCACATGGAACATAGCAATTTACTTCCTGCCTTCATAGGAGTGGTCAGGCAAGAGGAACTTCTTGAAGCCACACCACTAGCGGTCAACATAAACCAGGAATGGAAGGAAGCCTTATGTTGAAGATAGACTTCATATGCCTATAAAACCATTTTTAAAAAATAAATTATTTACTGGGTTACCATCAGTTTACAACACTATACAAAGTTTTAGTGTATCTTCATACCTTTACATGTGCATATACATTATCATACCCACCACCAAAAGATCTAGTGTCATTTACACTATTCTGTCATATATTGTTATATATCTGAGAGTCTGAGAGTTTTTTTGTTGCATTTGGTTAGATTTTCCTTTGATTATTTATATTCCATATATGAGATGCCATTCCAATTGACTTTCACTTTCTGTCACATTTAATTCAAATTATCACCTCAAGTTTCATCAGTGTTGTTGCAAAGGACAAGATTTAATTTGAAATACCTGAGAAGTATTCTGTTGGATAGATATTCATATATAATATATATTTTTATATATATCCAATAATCTGTCAATAGGCATTTAGTTTATTTCTGTCCTGTTTATTGTGAGTAATGGTACTACCAATATACATATTGGTAGCTAGTATTT